TGAGATAACAAGAAGCCTCGCCTGCTCTGGGCATCATACCAGGGGAGGGGGAAGCTGTAAAAGTGGGCCAGACCCACTGGGCTTTCTCTATAAAGGCCCCAGTGCCTCACCTACATCACTGGCCTCTGCAGAGGAAGCTCCACTCAGTGGCAGCTCTCAGCTCCTGGCTGCTGGGAGGGAGGAGGTGGCTCTCTGTGCTGGAGGGACAGGCAGTTGAGACTCAAACTCGGTCTGTGAGTGTGGGGAATCCTGATTCCAGCTCGGTCTGCTTTGGTCCCTGAGATGCATGCGATTTAAACAAAAGGCCTGGGGCTTTTTGGAGTCCTTGTGGGATTGGACAGGGTGAGAACAGAGATGTAGAGAGAAAGATGCTCAAGACAGTGGCCTTCATCTTGCTTTTTGTAGATTACAATGACTCCATTGGGCTTCCTGTTGTTTCTCACTGTGGCCACCAGAGCATGGAATGAGGGTGAGTCAGCACTTGGGGGATCAGCACCTGGGGCCTGCAGGTCCCCCACCTCAACTCTGGCATGGGTGAGGCCAGGGTGCTGGTCTGTCCTAGGTCACAGTGGGTGTCCCTGAAATGTACAGAGGGTGACTGGGACGCAGGCTCAGTGCTGATGTCTAGTCTGTGTGGCATCTGGCCTACAGCAGTGAGGGTGTTGTCTGAGGCTTGTGCTGGGTCCAGTCTGTGCCCCTGTGTGGCCCCAAGGGGGCTCTGGTGAGAACTGTGTTTCCTCCAAGCCACTCCCCATGTCTGTGGCCTTGGCCATGGTATTTCCAGGGGAAGTGCACAGCCTTTCTTCCTCTATAACAGAAATAGCAGTGGCATTTTAAGATTTGTATTCCTCTTCATTGTTATTTATTGACTTTTTAAAGTAAAGGCTATTTCTAAATATCTTCTAACATGATCGTCACAGAAAAACTTTATTAGCTATGTTCCTGGTCTGAGGAGTTCTGTTAAGTATGATTCCAAGGACATTCAACTAGTAAACACTGAGCTACTTACAAATACCTCTGACCTCAAAGCTTAAAATTGCTGTCATTCCTCCAGACAAGTAATTTTCAACCTTTTTACCTCACAGCACACTTGAACCTATAGTTAAACATCCATGGCACACTTGAATTATGTTGATCAAAAAAAGGAGTAAAAAGTAGAATATACTTACTGTGCTTTGAATGTCTTTCAAAAATAATTTAATTAAAGATCTCTGAAAATGTTCATGGCACACCTGTGCTCCTCCCATGGCAGACCAATTGAAAATCTCTGCTCTAGACCTTGCAGTACTTTGCAGCCTCTTTAGCCTTTAGCTGAGTATATAAGCTTCTTCATTCTGGGTCGCTACCTATCTCTCGCAACTCCTTGTCTCAAGCACAGTAAGCTACTTACTTTTCTTTTTTTACTTTTTTTTTTTTAGAGACAGAGTCTCATTTTCTCACTCTGGGTAGACTGCCATGGTGTCATAGCTCACAGCAACCTCCAGCTCTTGGGCTTAGCAATTCTCTTGCCTCAGCCTCCCAAGTAGCTGGGACTACATGCACCTGCCACAACGCGTGGCTATTTTTTTTGTTGCAGTTTGGCCAGGCCATGTTCGAATCTGCCAACTCAGTCTATGGGGCCAGCGCCCTACTCACTGAGCCACAGGTGCCGCCCAGCTACTCACTTTTCTTCAATAAGCCATACTATGCTGTATTTCTTTTTCCTCGAGGCTTTTGGACATGCCATTCTCCCTGCCTTGAATTTCTTCTCCTTCTTCCTATTGATAAATCCTGTTTATTCTCTCAGAATATGCTAAAGTATCACCTGGACTGGGAGGCCTTCTGTGACTAGGACATGAGACCCCCCCACCTCCCCCAGCATCTTACTCCAGACAACCCCCTGCCTCTCCATTCTGGCCTCTCCATTCTCCATAGTCACAGCGGAGTCTTGCTTTTGTCCTGAGTTTGTCTCCCTCTCATCATTTATTCTTCTCAATGTGATATTCTATTGACTTGTCAGCAACTCCCTGGATGGGCAGCTTTTGGGGAGAATGTGATTTCTTTGACCGCCCAGTGCTTAGGGCAGGGCTGGTGAGGGTGAAGTCATGTGCAGTGAGGCCTGCATCAAGCCTGTCCTGGGTGTTGGGTCAACAGGCTGAATGAATGGACACCTCTGGGCCCTGCTCACAGGTAATGCAGCTCTGCTACAGTGGGGGGGGGGCGTGCAGAGGAGGGCGGGGTGCAGAGTTTGGGACTAGTGACAAGGAGAGGCTGGGATTCATGACAAACCAGCAAAGGGAGTAAAACTGCATATTCTCTAGGGGACGCCAATTCTTCCGACAAGGAGAGGACCTGTTCTTCTTGGTCTCCATCTCAGTTCAGAAGCTGCAAGGAAATCAAAGCGGAGTGCCCCCGTGCACGTGGTGAGTGAGGACACGTTTAATCAGAGCACCACCAGGGCACTCAGGATTCTGTGTCCTGGGAATGCTTGTTAAGGTTAAAAAATATTGTGGTAAAATGTATACCTTTCATAAGATTTTCCATTTTAGGTCATTTTTGTGTACAATTCAGTGGCATCAATGACCTTCAAATGTCATGCAGCCACCACCACTGTCCATCTAGGGAACTTCTCGTTATCCCACACAGAGACTGTGTACCCATCAGCCATAGTCCCACGTCCTCCTTACCCAGCCCCTGCTCAAAGCTCCTCTTTCTTTGTGTCACTATGAATTTGCTGTTCAGTCACCTTATATAGGCAGAATCACACTGTATTTGTCTTTCTGTGCCTACCTTATTTCATCTGGCATAGTGTTTTCAGGTTGAGCAACGTTACAGGCTGGATACTGTATTCATTTCTATCCAATGTGTGTATCTACATGTACACACCCAACCCCAACATTGTAGTCCTGTGACTCTCACTGCAGTGCCCACTGGTGCACAAGCTTCTGTTTGAGTTCCTGTTCCCAATGCTTTTGGGTACATACCTAGTAGTACATTTGCTGGGTCATATGATAATTCCGTGTCTAACCGCATGAGGTACATTACTGTTCACTGTGAGTTTGGC